CCGAGGACGGAAATCAGTTGTTTGCATGGCTGACAACTAGCATGAAGGGGGTCAGAGACCTGATCCTGGGTGTGGAATTAGATGTAGACATTTCCATTGTTCAAGGATTTTTGAATCGATGGTGCAAAACACTACGAACAATCAAAATCAAGCAGATCGGTAAGAAGTCCAATTTCTGCCCTAACCCGACTTTATTGATGTCAGAAACAGTCACGAATACTTTACTTTGGGGTGCAGGTCTACTTCGGTTTTATGGCTGTCAATTCCTGATGGCATTAGAAATTTGATGCCTCGACTCAGAGATCGGGTTGTTAACCGGATCCTTGGTAACAGTTCCGCCTGCTCAACTACGCACCTTGACAATCGGGTTTCAAGTAACATTATGGGCAGAGGAAAAGGAAAGACGGTGCGGAACTTAGCAGTACAGAGGTTCGATGCCTGTACATTCGACCTCGTCAAACACTATGAGTTTGAGTTCTTGAAGATTGTGTTAGGGTACAATTACATGGACGACAGAGAATCCGAATATTTCGTTGATGGATTCCTCATCACCAATCTCAATCGGGTGAAGACTTTACCCTATAAGAAATGGGTACACATCTGGGAATGGTTCTAGTTTTAATGTCGCTTACATTCATTTAATGTAATGTGTATACATCGTCTGGTGCAATTCCTAACGAATACGACACCTATAATTTGACCCATGATATATTGAGTCGCTATCTTTGGATTGATAATTCCGACAAAAAATAAAAGGAAGAAGACATGACAACGTCGAAATTGGCTCACCCCTTTCGGTCTCATAAAATGCATTTCGGGGACACCTTGTTTAAGTACAACCTGTTGTCCATGGACCCCATAACACGTTCGTCTGCTCACGTAGAGATTTTAACATTTCATCCCTTTAAATCAATAGGTGAGCCTTGCAGATCGTCTTATGCGGTACAAACGGTTTGAACTCATCGTTACATGTAGCCGTGTGCACATTTCCGGATATTAATGGCACCATAAACGTTAGGCAAGGATCAATACAGCTTGTAGCTGTATCCTTCTTAGTCGACCTACACCGCTACGGGAAGACGGCGACTGACCTGCACAATGCAAAGTGTAAATTCGTATTATATTTGAGCATAAGATATCTTCCATGTTATTGGGTCGACAGCTTATTCACTTCTCATATAGGATTATGCCTTTTATCACATAACGACATCTAGGATCAGCGAATTAATCCAAGAGTCGAATACAGTTCCTTGGTTCAAGTATTGGATAGAAGCAAAAAAGCTCATGTCATTGGATTCGACGACAGGATGTTTATCTCCTGGTTCAGCCAATTACGACAACACCCCTGCGATAATACGAGAACATTTAGAGTGGGTTACACATGTAACAATCGTTTAGGCTTGCATCCCTCCCGATACGAAGCATAATTGTATTGCATCACTCAGTCATATATTGGTTGAATGGGCAGTCGGCAAACCTCAGTCAATCGGTGACTCTTCATGGGCTCGCCTATGAGGTTATCGACAGTCCAGAGCAGCCTTATGTAGCAGCCGCGATGCTCGTTCGCGCTGAACACCTGTGTACTATTACTGATTCCGCTAAATCTATAGCTATCATGGGTGGTATAGCCAAGGTTCATGAAGCACCGAGTGAAGATATTTTAACCGTATGCTCGTTCTCTAACGCCATTAGAACCGCTTGGTGAGCAGTCAAAATTTCTGAATCTGGAATGTTTTTTTTTATTTAAATCCCCCTCTCAGTAACTTGTTAACTTCACTTGACTCGGATATGTCGTCAATTAATGATTGATACGAGAAATTAAATCAGTTACTATATTTTCAATGTATTTCGAATATATAAAAGACACCCCTCACTCTTATCGCCTCCCCTCAGTTTGACGGTCCTATGCAGAAGTACTCTCACATATATTTTGCCGACAGCCAGCTCGTAGAAGATAGGCTTAGATTCTTTACCATCCCCGAATTGGTATCACTTATTGAGCCTCTGATACACATTCCGTATGAACGAAAGCGTTCGAGAGAGGCACTATTGGAATTTTTCACTGCCCAACCTTTGGATGTACAACAAGCTATACAAAATACAGCTTCAAGGGAATCAGGTAACAGAAGGAAAAGAAAGAGAGTAGACGAGAACGATACTCGTTGCAGATCTAAGTGAGGCAACACAGATGTTGCAACCGCAAGAAGGGATACTGCAGATGCATGGCACTGGACAAGAGAGAGCGTCAACGAAGAAGAACCAGAAAGCGAAGAAGCAATTGTACATGATATCATTGATGGTCCTTTTTTGTGTACTGTCAATCCCAACACCAAAAAGAGCTGTGTTGAACGGTACATCGAACGAACTTCCAATCATGCTCTTAGACAGAACGTCTGCATCGTATGTGCCCGTCTCCTTTTTACAAAGAACATGCAAGAAATATCGGTTGAAAATTTACTGAACAAACATATATTAAAACTGTCTCATCCTCATCATCGCCATACCCTATTCGATGGTATACTCCTATACGAAACAGAATTAAAGGATGGACGTGGCTTCGTCTGCCACGAATGTTTCTGACATCTCAGTAATGAGATGCTTCCTCCTTTGGCTCTGGCTAACAACATGTGGGTGGGAGAGGTACCTAAAGAGCTCACCATTCTGAATTTACCGGAATGACTGTTAATTGCCAGACACTTACCATGCTGCTATCTCGTCAAACTATATCCCAAAGCAGAAAACTCACGCTTTTGGTGTAAAGACGATGCAATGTATTCCAAGTTAAAGGGAAACGTTTCTACACATCCTTTAAACAGTGATCATATAGCAGGCTTAGTCTCTTCCAAGGTACTGCCTCCTCAACCCCGGGTTTTATCAGCACTCATAGGGATCACGTATGTTGCACCGAAAGGCACAAAATTGCCTGGACTCCCTCGACAGCTTCATGTCCGCAGAAGACGAGTCCATGAAGCTTTGCTATGGTTGAAACATAACAACCCCTTATACAAGAATATCATCATTTCCGATATATTACTGGAGCAGTTACCCATAGACGGTGTTCCAGAAGAACTGCTATCCACTGTTCGAGTTTCTCATGACATGGTTGGGTTAGCTAAGGAGCAAGATGGTTATGTCCTGAATCAAGATCCCACCGATGATATTGGTAACGGTTCACTTTCTATTACAAAGCAAGTGGAAGTTTATGACAGATCAAAAGTCAATGATCCAGGAATGATTCCTCTTACAGAAGACACAGAACCAGACAGATACACAGAACCAGGTAAGTATGAAATCTTAAACTCGTTGCAAGAAATCAAGCTTTAATGTTTAGATGTATTCTTTTTACATGCAAATGGAATGATTGATGCTAACGGAGACAACATCACTGACATCGACGTGATGAGACACGCACTGGCCAATTTAGCGGATTCACAAGACGGAGGACCTATTCGACCCGAAGACAGGTATTTTATCAGGCGAGGCAGTGCTTTCACAAACGAATATGCCAGGATAGATAAAGAAACTGGACAACATACAGATGGTGGCCTGTGGAACCCTAATCACCTCTTGGGATCTTTTCTGTGGCTTTTCCCTTATGCTTTGGGTGGATTTGAAGTTGATAGACCCATAGATGTACCATATGAGGTGCACGCTAGATGGGCTCTACAGTACGCAGACAAAAGGTTCCGTAAGGATTACTATTTCGTTTTTCAAGTTTATGGCATGATGCACAAATGCAGCATATGCCGTTCCGCTAGTCTTCAAATTAAACGGTCCGGTTTTATTCGTAGTCGGGCAGCCATTGCGACTTTGACTCCAGAAGTACTACACAAAGCAGGCAAAGAAGAAACATGATGCGTACCCTTTTCCCATCCCAGAGTACAGGCGCTAAGAAGACAATTGACAGCAGTTCGAACCCGTGTTCCGGGGACAGATGAATCTAGGAAAGCCATACGATCAAAAATTTGGAGTACCAATCTCATCTTTAATCCTCCCAGTTTGTGGATTACTATCAATCCCTCTGACACTCACGACCCGGTTGCTCAAGTTCTCGCTGGCAAAGCAATCGATCTTGATAACTTCGTGAATATGTCCGGACTGAAAAGTCAGGACAGAGGAAGGAATATGGCAGCAGATCCATTCGCTGCAGCACAGTATTTTCATTATATCATCCACACTGTACTGGAAGAATTATTCAGTATCAGAGGTACTACGAGGCAATCTTCAGTTTTGAGGAAAGAGGGGATATTCGGTACGGTCAATGCATACATTGGAACAGTAGAAGCACAAGGCCGAGGAACTCTTCATCTTCACATTTTACTTTGGTTAAAGGGAGCTCCGACCGCAAATAATATGACTAAAGCATTATGCTCTGACGCTTTCAGAGATAAAGTGAAGTCATTTATACACGCAAATATTACAGCAGATTTAGGAGGAGCTTATAATGAAGACGTCGAACGTATGAAAGAAACAACAGAAGTGTCATATTCCAGGCCACCCCACCCAAGACGAGCGGATTACGAACAGATAAGAGCCATGGACCAGATAACCGTCGCTCGGACCGTTCAATATCACAGATGTCAAATGAATGTATGTCTCAAGAATCGAAACAATTGTATCAGTTGCAAAAGGCGCGCACCTTTTCCCGTGTCAACGGACGTGTGGATACTTCCTACAGGTGAATGTGGACCTAAACGTCTGTCACCTAGTATGGTCGTGTGGAATCCTGAAATCTTACAATGCGTAAGAAGTAACCATGATATTAAAATCATTACTAATGCTGTGGACACCAAAGATATCACCTGGTACATCACAAACTATTCGACAAAAAAACAGACCTCAACCTGGAACACGTCTGCTGCACTTGCTCGCACTTTGGCATTCGATACCAAAAAGGAACAAACATTCTTGGAATGCAGGGATCTAGGGAATAAACTGCTACAAAAATTCGCTCATTCGATGAACAAGGAAACGGAATTTAGCGTATGCGAGGCAATATCGCTGGTTATGGGATGGGGAGATAGATTTGTATCACATCATTATGTGACTGTTTATTGGGATGCCGTAGCAGTGGCTCTACAAGACACCTATCCCAATCTAAGACCTAGAAGGTGAGTCTATTTTGTTTGTGAAGCAATGCTGTTTTTAGATCAAATGACTGATATAAAAGATAGATCCTTCACGGAAGAAGTTGTACGTGACAGTAATGGAACAGTGATCCAAGAACTCGGCGACGAAGTCACCTTAACTATGGAGATTATTGGAGGAGAAGTGAAATTAAAAGATCAACTCCGAGAGTATGCTGATCGAGGTGATGCATTGGAAAACATGTGCTTTATGGATTACTTCTCAGAAACATATGATGGAAAACAACCCAAGACAAGAAAAGATGGTTCTGAAGGATATGCAAGGAGTCGATGCGTTCCTTATAGGTCCGGTAGTGGGCACGGAGACCGATGTCACGTACTCAGACAACCCAGACACGAGACAATAGTTCAATTCGTAGGAAAGTGGTTTCCAAGAAGAGATAGGATCGAATGTTATGTGTACTATTGCGCTTCGATGCTCGCTTTACTGAAGCCATGGAGATGCCTGAAAGACTTAAAGGGCGAAAGAGAGACATTTGAGGCTGCATTCAAAACTTTCCATTCCAATTTGAGTCGCTCTCAATTAGACCTGCTAGATAACATCCAATACTTTCATGAAGCATCCGATTCAGCTCACATCGCAAAGCCCGTTATTGCACCTGGAGGATATCTGGCTGTAGGAGATGACGACCAATTCATGGATCAAGACTACTACAGCTCGGATGCTCCTCGAGAAGGAATTGATTATACCGAGGCTGATATCAAGATCGCAGAAGCCATGAGACATTCTGCAAGGGAAGTACAATTTGGACAAGACACTATAGATATAGCAGAACAAGCCAGTGTTTTCAAAGAAGAAGGACCATGCTCATTTTTAAAGGATGTAGCAACCGTGGCCTCTGCAGAGGATACTGTTCATTTCTGGGAGTGGGACAAGCACCTTAAATCCATTACGAGAGAGAAGGAGCAAGAGAGGGGGACAGATGTTCAAGATCGAAGTGATCTGGTGATGCCAGCCAACAAGATAACTAAACCAGGAGGATCTCGAGATCTACCCAAAACACAGAAGGAGACTGGTCGTTCTTTATTGGCACTTCTCAACAAGGAACAAAGACTTGTGCATGACATTATTGAAGATCATTTAAAGGCTCTTTTACAAGGTAGAAATCCTGCCCCTTTATACATGCAGGTACAAGGCCAAGGGGGAACGGGAAAAACAGTTCTACTTAATGCGATTTCAGAGACTTTCCGTTATCATCACGCAGAGCATATGTTAGCAAAAACGGCGACTTCAGGGGTCGCTGCTAGCCTCATCGGAGGGCAAACTCTGCATTCATTTGGTGGAATACCCATAAATCCAGGAAAGAGCGACGATTGGTTTTCAAAGAGCAGTAAAGAGGTCAAAGCTAAAAGAGAAAAGAACATAAAGGGAAAAGAATACCTTGAAATCAACAAATGCTCAATGCTTACAAAGGACATGTTGGCGATAGTTTCTCAGTTGCTATCCAGGCACAGGACGAGAGAGGGTCATCAGAACGATTTGGCCTTCGGTGGAATGAGCGTCATACTTTTTGGAGATTTTCATCAATTTCCTCCAGTAGGAAACGATAACGCTGCTCTATATAATCCCAAATGTTCGACTGATCGAGCAAGAATTGGGAAAGCCTTATATGAGCAATTCACTACCGTTGTTACATTGACAAAGCAAAACCACATCAGAGACAAACCATGGAACAGTCTATTGAATTGTCTACGTACCGGAGACTGCACATTTCAGGATATACAGGAACTAGATAAACTGGTTCTAAAAGCCAGCAACACACCTGATTTTACAAAGAGTCCTTGGAAAGACGTGATTTTTGTGACCTCAAGACACGGTCCAAGAGAGCAGTGGAACAAAAGATCTTTACATCGACATTGCAAACTGACAGGTAATAGACTATATACCTGTCCAGCAGAAGATACAACCAGCAGAGATCGTGCTCAATTAACAATGGAGGAGAAGGTGATAGTGGCCAGCATGAGATCCAAAAAAACTGGACGTTTAGTTGATAAACTTGAAGTGGCAATAGGAATGAAAGCTATGGTGTTATCGAACATCGCAACTGAGGCAGATATTGCCAACAGTACACACGGAACAATAGAGGACATCGTATTAGATAGTAGAGAGAGATTGACACCACTACAGAGAGATAGCCTAGAGATCGAGTTGAAGTATCCTCCTTCCTTGATCCTGTTCAAGCCAGACAACCCTGGCAAGGACTTCAGCTTCATCGGTCTCCCAAAAGGTCTTATTCCTATTGTTCCCTCCGAGGTCGGATTTACAATCGAAACACGTTCAGGATCAAGCGTTAGAATCCATCGTCGACAGTTTGCATTGACCCCGGCATACGCTTTTACCCACCATAAATGTCAGGGACAAACCATTGAGTATGTCATCGTGGACTTGGGAAAGCTGCCTTCAGGGAAGATGGATCCCTTTAATGCATACATTGCCCTATCCCGTAGCCGCAGTCGAGAGACTATACGTTTATTACACCGAGGTGAAGACAAACTCTTTACCGAGCATCCATCTGTCCCCCTTCAAGATGAAGACGTGCGTTTATTCAGACTAACCTCCATTACAGCTAAAAAGTTTGAATAATCGAGAACTAAGTAGTATAGTTATGGTCTATTCATAGCTAGATCATCAATGTACACGTGTTTTACCGGATTAGTGTTTACTTCTCCCATACCGGATATCGGTCCGAGTTCTCGCTGATGAGAATGCCGATCACTACGAGCGGATTTTCATCGGTGCCCGACGTCGAGGACATGGACACTTCTAGATTCCCATCCAACAGATGTATTTGCAGCCCTCTTCAACGTACCGATCCATGGATATTAGTGAACAACGGATTCCATGCAAAGTTACAAGGAAGCTATAGAGACGACTCAGATAAGATCAAAGAAAAATAAAAATAAAAAAAGGAAAAGAAAAGAAAAAGAGAGAAGAAAAACGGAGGACCTAGTTTGCAGGCGTTACGTGGACCACTTCGTGACATCACGCTTTGAATACCGACCATTGTTCTACATCTTCAAGCTGCACCCCGATGAAATCACTAAGTCTCGTCCGTCCTTTCAGACTCTATTTCTTTGCCGCAATACCGAACGAAGACCACTACTTCGGAGGGAGAAAGTCGCGGTTGTCTCGGTCACCATACGATCTTTACCTGGGCAAAATATTATCAGAGGCCATTCGAAGACACGGAGTCCATTTAGAAAACGCGGGAGTAAAGATTTTATCATTAATGTGAGTATCTGAAAAGGATTCCTGTATCGCTTATTCAAACATCGTTCAGGTGTCCTTGGCACAAAAGCCAGGGATTCTGGCATTACACCCTCAGAGGATACACGGACGATGGGTGGATGACTCTAACGATCAAGATGGGCAGGAGAACAATCGGACAGTACTGCGATGACAGGGTATGGACGATTCTGCTAGAGCATCAATTGAAATGGGGCATCGAGATAGAGAAGGGTAGAAGACTGAAAGCAGCGAAGTTTTTTTACAAGGATCATGTTAGCGACCGATTTCACAAACAAGATCAAACAACTAAGCGTGACTCGCACTTCGGTCAGGCGCTTTGTGTTGTCCACAGGTTTGCGTTAAGGGAGCTATCGCTTAGTTGAGCGAGAGTGAGTTCAGACTAAGTTATCGGGTGAATAAACTTTAGTTCGAGACTGAGGTTTAAGACCTGCAGTCGAGCTACTTAAATACAGTTTGGA